GAGAGAATACTGCATTTAATCCAATGGTTGCTTAATTTTTAATTAACATTTTTTCAGACATTTTAATGATTTGGCAGTTCTGACTGACCAGTGCTATCAGAATCCTTAATTGTATGGGCCGAGCCAATTACTGTTGTCAGTAAATGCAGTGCTGTGTAAAACCATATTTTTACACTTGACTTAATTTGTCATTTTTACACAGGTCTCTGTTTCTTTTCTTTCGGTGTGTTTCAGGTGGGGGGATAACAGCGGATGATTTGGAGTCTTACAGGGTTCAAGTTACAGGTGTCATGAAAGCTCAAGTGGGTGAATACACAATGTACATGCCTCCTCCACCAGCAGGGGCTGCTCTTGTCAGCTTTGTGCTCAATGTCATGAAAGGTCAGTGTCGTGCCAGTATTGTTATAAATAAGGGTTATAAAAACTGAAAATGACCAGAAATAGGCTGAGCTTTTTAATCAATAGGTAAAAAAATGATCATGCTATCAGCCTAATTGCATTTAACACCAAGAGGTACTGTAAAATAACAAAACGTGCATTCCATGTCATTCTGAATTTAATCTTTCAAACAACTTTTGCATATTCTTTAAATGTTTTCATAGCTTAGCTTCATGGTACTGGCACTCATTGTGGAATGTATAGAAGGTGAGATAGCATTACATGTTAAAACGAAAAACGTCACAGTGCCCGAAAGATTAAGTAAAGGTATTTGCTCAGACAAGGCTCTTTGAGTCTGATCTGTATCGTTTGTCAATGCATACAGTAAATTACTCAGCATGAAGATTCAGGTGGCCATGAGCTAGCCAACAAACCATATGTTTCTCATTCAATTGTTCCACCTGTAATGATTTTCAGTGCTTCTATACTGTATGTTTGCAGTGTTGACAGTAAGGGTTGTTCCAATACTCAATATGTATAGCTTTAGGCTTGCAATGTAAAAATACATTTTAGAAGACCTGCAGGAAAATCTCATTATCTACTAGTGAATCCAAAATTGGTAGGTATAAAAGAAAAAAAAATAAGTAAAGAGTTGAAACAACTGAAATCGGTAAATCATTGTTTCACAAACGGTATTTATTTTTGACCCTAAATATAATATTCTTCTGGCCTGGTGACCCAAAGGATTGATAGAATGAGTTTTAATGGTATTTTTATTTCTTATCATACAGAATGTTTCTTAAAATAAAATATCAAATTAAATTATATTATTAAATCAGAATTTTAAGGATTTTTAGTTCAAGTACGTTAAAAAGTTGTGTTGTTCATGCGATTTTATAACAATATTTGGTAACTGGCAAAACTAATATTTTTTTTCAATAGCTACACTACCATGTTGTTGCTTCATTCTAAGGGTTAGCTCTTTTGAGTCATTATTTTATGTTGATACATTTTAAAAACTAAAAAAGAATGATTTTCAATAACCTCTTAATGAGACAAAATGAATTATATATCAATTATATATTTTTCACCTTAATGTGATAATCACAAATTGGATATATGACAAAAATAGATTTGTTCAGTTGATATCATGATGCTGCTCCATTTTGGGGGAGAGGTCTTCAAAATTTGATTTTATGTTGATGAAGGTTGCACAGCACAATTCGTGCTGAGGATTCTTTTAGTCTCTTACTTTAGTCTGTTTTATAGGTATATTGTCGGAAAAAGGAAGAAGAGACTTTTCAGCTTCCTTAATCAAAATGGGCCTATCCTTGAGTTCAGGCCAAAATTTCAAATCCAGGAGTCTTTCATGTATTATTCCAAATATATACTGTCATATTTAGAAAGATATATTATTTATAATATATATTATTTCATATGTTATCAAAAATAGGCATTCAGTATATTGTACTTAGCTTTCCTGAAGCTCTATTAATTCTTCTTGAAATCCTGTGATCATTCTCTTCAATTTCAATTCATTGCTGTTCATGCTGAACACATTCCTGACTCAGCTGTACTATTGGAGGTCAGTGTTTTGTGGGAAATACCTGTCCATTTTTTCATGACACTTTTTTCAGATGACCGTTTACTTAGCATCGAGCGTCAGGCTCCTCAGTAGGAAATTTGGCATGTTACACAGGTATTGTACGTGACTGACTTGAATGTGTATTAAGTGTATAATGAAGATTAAATGATAATCCTATCTACTGTCCTTCACTTTTTTGACATTATTTCCATAACTCCTTATCATGCCTCTGTTTCCTGATGTAATTGTCATGGTAATATTTCATAATTTTTCCAAAAATATATAGTTCCCAAGACCTTCCCGCAACCCTTTAAAACATCCTTGCCATTGTCATTTGGGTCGCGACCTGGTATTTCGGATGAAAGGGTACCAGAGATCTTATTGTAATTATTTTGTCCTTTCTAGGGTATAATACAAATTTTCAATCTGTGCAAGGAGATCAAAAATTATTAACCTATCACCGGTATATTGAAGCTCTGAAGTTTGCAAATGGACAAAAGAAACAAATTCGAGACCCAGAGTTCAACGGTTGGAATGTAAGTGACAAAATGTGATGCTCCCACCGGGCCAAATATGAGTCTTGACAAAACAGAGTGTTATAGATTCACTTGTGCATACTTCTTAGGTTTTTTGGGGTGGGTATTGTTTTACATTTTTTATATTGTTATTACCTTGTTGATTTTTTCTCAGTTTTGGGGTAGGAGACTTGTCTCTTTTATAGTATTTTCTATATGTTTCCTCTTGTCTTGCTTTTTGTATTGTGGGTTCCACTTGCCCATTTACCCTTATGCCTTCCACTCTTTATTTTTAATTTTTTTGAGGAGTGGATGGGTTTAGGAAAGCTGTCATATTTCATAGGAGATGGCTTACGATAGATACCAATATTAGATTTGTAAACTAATGCCTAGATTGCTGTTTGTGTTGTACAGGCTTATATTTGTGCTAAATTTGTTATGTTGCTGTATAATGAACTTTACAGTGTTCTGAAGGATATTCAACATGTTGAATATTTTCTTATACCCTTCTCCTCATTGTTGCTTTTCAATATGCCTATCCTGAATTTGCTTTTGTAATGTTCTTTTGTCTTCATGATGGAGTTTTCATTATTAGGAGCTCTACTAATGAACAGTAAGATCTTCCAGAGATAGGTGTATTTAACTCAAACTCATATTAAACACCTTAATTACACACAGGTGGACTCTATTTAGTTAAATATGAGATTTCTAAAGATAATTGGCTGGCACCAGAGCCTACTTAGGTCCAGTCTTTTTTCAAGGTACTGTATTTACCCACTATACCATAAATGTTTTGTACTAAGAACATAATAAATAATAAGAAAAAACATAACAGTGAGCTACAGAGAACCTATAATAATTTCCTACTGAAGCTTCATTAAACACTCTCAAACTCCCATCTAGTCTCTATATACATTACCTGTTTGCTCAAATATGACCACCCTTATAAAGCATTTTACTAATTACTGTTCCAGTATATACAAATGATTTACTTTGAACACCAACTCACAGTAGAATAATTAGACATTAACACCTTAGAGGACATTTATCAGCCACATGTACAGCCAGAAAATTAGGTTTTCTGAATATATATGTAGCAATGTGTACATGTTCACCATAATATTTACTAACAATTTTACAGAGTTTTTACTTTATTTGAGCCTGATATTTGTGGATGCTCATGGGTTATATATTATATATACAGTATGGACTTTCTACACTGTATGCTGGAAATTACATGATATGTCACAGTAACGTTTCCTTAGACACAGTTATCAAAGTGATATTTCATTTCCTTAGATATTTAAAAAAAACACTTTTGAAGAAATTGTTTTTTTATATTTACCTTTATTCATGTTTTCTTTGAAGGATATCCTTAGATTGATCAGTGATGAATTTGCCGATTTTGTGAGAGAGATGATTAGCCCCAGTGAGACACATCCTCTCCCGTATTATAACATCACCCCGGGTCCCTCCTCAGACAGGCCTGGCACCACTCATGTGGCAGTCATAGCTGAAGACGGTAGTGTTGTATCGGTCACCAGCACCATCAATGACATGTAAGAGCTGAACATTACATACAGTAACTAGTATGGGCATGCAGTAGTGCTCTAGTAAAGCAGTCAATTTTATCAGATGTATTAGCTTCTGTTGTTTTAAATTGTAGATGTACCATTAAATGTCTTGTCACTGAAAACTGTGGAAAACTATCAAAATAGATGTTCTGTTGATTGCCCATTCCTACTAGTGGATTCACTACACCACACGGGCCAATTCCATCAATGAAGGAGTCACAGGACTATAACTATTACTATACTATTTTCCAATCATGATGTTCCTGCTCTGTTGTTGCTGACTAAGCAGAAGAGCACAACAATCAAAATCTAATTTGATAATACAGCAATTTATTGGAAATATTTTGTAGAAGCTAAAAACTTGTATTTAGACTATTTGTATTTGTATGTGCACATTTATAAAGCATATAGCAGTAACAGCTCTTTTTGCTCCTTCAGCTTTGGTTCAATGGTGTTCTCGGAAAGCACTGGTGTGATTCTCAATAATCAACTTACAGATTTTTGTGGAAGAGCAGAAAGCATCAATGCAGGTACTTTAATTAACATGTATAACTGTTTTTTCCTGTTTTAAAATTAAATGAAATCATCTCAATTTCATTAATTATAATTAATAATAAACAGTTTGGAAGATTCCACTGTTGTTGGAGCATGAATACTGTATTTAAATAGGTGTTGAAGAGTTTTACTGTAAATTCATTCTCATTTCCTTAAGACACTGTTACAGATAAGCAAGCAATATATTTTGCTTAATAACTGAGTGAATACCCTTTTTATAGATAAAGAACTTTATGACTGTAAAATCACATTTTAGACATTCATACAAATAACCAACAACTCAACTGTGTAATGACACGGCTAGATAGAGTACAGCCATGCAGGTGGTGATTTGTCAGAACCCAAGCACGAGAGATCGGTGAGTGAAAAGTTAAAGGTGAAAATAAAGTAATTGATTACTGGTTGGCAGGGCTTAATCAGCCCAGGCCAGTCAATAATGTGGAAGGAACAACATCTCGTGTATGGAAGAAACAGAATAGAGACACCCCCTTAGAAAAGCAGCCCACGGGACTGCCAGAGGTGCAGGTGGTCAACCTCGAGGGTCAACGCGGCCACCAGTGAAAAGAACAAGTGTGGACTACAATCTGAGGCAGTTGCGTCAGGCAATTCAGGGAGCAGGCTAGGAGCTAAGGCTGGTGCACCATGCAATGCTGGACCTAAGGCTGGTGCACCGGGCAAGCAGCTACCGTGCAGAGTGAAACGCTGTCTTGAAGCAGAATTTGCTGCCAAGCACAATCAGACTGATCGAAACAGGAAGTCTTGGGTAGGGATAATAATAATAATTGCTTACAATGACATGTAACTAGATGTTACACTTATATAGCGCTTTTCTGGACACTCCACTCAAAACGCATTACAGGTAATGGGGACTCCCCTCCACCACCACCAATGTGCAGCATCCACCTGGATGATGCAACAGAGCCAGAATGCTCACCACACATCAGCTATCAGTGGGGAGAACAGAGTAATGAAGCCAGTTTATAGATGGGCATTATTAGGAGGCCATGATTGGTAAGGGTCAATGGGAAATTTGTCCAGGATACCGGGGTTACACCCCCTACTCTTTTTGAGAAACACCCTGGGATTTCTAATGACCACAGAGAGTCAGGACCTCGGTTTTACGTCTAATCCAAAGGATTACAGTATAGTGTATACTGTACTGTACCATCGCTATACTGGGGCATTAGGACCCACATAGACCTCAGGGTGAGCGCCATTAACACCTCTTCCAGCAGCAAGCTTAGTTTTTTCCCAGGAGGTCTCCCATCCAGGTACTGACCAGGCTCACACCTGCTTAGCTTCAGTGTGTTGCCAGTTGTGAGTTGCAGGGTGATATGGCTGTGGGATGAAACCGGCTGGCGAGCCTCCTGAGAAGGAAGGTGGGCGGATTTAAAGTGCTGGCTTGAGGCTGGAGAGACTGCCAAACACAGTCCGCTGGCTGTGAAACGGGGAGCCTTGGGTATGAGTGAAACCGAATGGCGAGCCCTGGGTAGGGGTGAACCTGAATTGCACACAAGGCACACAACGAAAATGAAAAAAAACTTTCTTTAATAACATTTTTGTGAATTAAAATGTCTTGACACTACAATGTGAACTTGCTAGGAAGGCTCTTAAAATTGGTAGCCCACTTCCTGTATGCCAAAGCCTTTAACTTCGGCTATGGTGCCAAATGCATAGACTGCAGCAGTCATTGCTAATTTTGGAAAAGAAGATATAGATATAGAGGTTACTTGATATTATAGAAGGAACTACATACAATAGAGTGAGGCTAGGTATTACTGTGGCCCTGTGTTTTAGAATAGATGACCCTGCTGTTCTTCACCACGTTAGCAATGCCTTAGTGACTACGACACTCAGCTGGTTGATGGGTGGTTTGCATTTTCAACTGTAATAACTTCAGAAGTCATTTAGAAAGGTACTTAGGGACGTTTAGGTGGAAGATGTGGAGTCATTACAGCTCACACAATCCCAGACAATTATGGAGGCTACTTGGAGCCAAACCTTCATGACAATACTGGGCAACAGTTATCATTCATATTTTACACTCCACTGATCAGATGCTGGAACCCCCTAAAGACACTAATTTGTGGAGTTTTGCCATGTCAGTGAATAGAATTGTTAACATTCTCTCACTGGTGCCCAGTCTCGAATGCAACACACTCTCCTCTCTATCTTCAAAGCCTCGTGTTCCATTTACAGCTTCAACCCTATTGTTCCAACAGGAAAGCCAATTGGAGGCATTGTTTGTATGAGCTACTTTTTTTCTGAATGTGTGCATATACCTGTAGTATGTATTAATCATAGAGATTGGATAAAAAAATCTGACTGGAATTTGACTGTGACTCAGAAATGTGCTACCTAGACAAACTATATTTCACATACAGTAACCCTACTGGACAATGTCCTGTATTGCTTTTACCCTGAAAACTATGTGTCAGATGTAACATCAATCAAGGCCTGCTCCACATCTGATGGTGTCAATTGTGGTGAGCTGGCATGATGGCAAGACATTGAGACATTATCCCACAGAGGACTTCTGATTTATTTCTGTAAATCAAAACACAACATGATTTCCTCTTCCAGATAGGGTGGCAACACATTTACATCTCTGCCACTTTCTTGTCACCTGGTTACTCAGCATCCACTACTGTCACGGTTGCTGTGCTCACAGATGGAGAATAACCTTGAAAACATAGAATGCCAATGCAGCTATTTAAAATGCACAAGTTGTCAGGCAGTATACTGCCACATGACGTAAACAGTCTTGCTGTTTTTATTTTTTCAAATAATCTGATGCAGGACTGCATTATTCTTTAAAACTGCCAGGTGGCACAGTGAATTCTTAAAATACCGAAACTGCGTGTGGTTGCCAGATATATCTTATTTTAATAATAAAATCAAATGTTTGTTAAACATATTTATTATACATTTTATAATGAAGTGTGGTGTTCTAAGCTACAAGTGCTACAGCGGTTTCAAGTGAACTATGCACTTTAACGGTGAAGAACAGCCAGAGAGCAGCCAGTGTGTGATGTACAAAATACCAACTACAGGTTCACGAGAGACAACAACATCCAAGAATTCGATGCTTTGTGAATGTTTAAATTAATTTGATTAGACAAGTTTGGCTTAACTTGCTTTGTTAATGAGCAGCCACCCGGCCATTAGTCAAAGAAGCTCGATGCTCATTCAGAGAGAGAGGCGTTAACCAAGGTGGAAACAGGGTGGAGCCGAGATGTCTGAGATGAATGCACAATGACAACAAAAAAATCCTTGCCATCTTTTTCGTTATAAGCCAGATAAACTCATATGAAACTCTAGACTGTGTTTCTGAGAGGAACCGAAGGCTAAGCTGAAGAGTTGCAAAGCAATGGAGACTGATATTGTGCACATTGTACACCCGCTGTACAGCATACTTATAGCCTGGTTTGTGGTGTCTGTTATGCAGGAGAGAAACCTCCTTCCTCGACTTCTCCAGTAGTGCTGTTTTCCCAATCACGAAATGAAATCTTGGTTATTGGAGGAGCTGGAGGAAGCACGATCACAACGTCTGTTGTGTCTGTAAGTACACCTTATTTGAATGTGCCAAACTCAATCACAAACTTTGTCATACAATCCCTTAAACACACACTAATGCACGGTTTCCCCATTCTTTGGTAAGTGACAATTGAGGGAGCTTCTCAGTGGCTGAGCTGAGCTACTAAGAACCAAATAGTGTCAGTCTGGGTCATATCGAGACCAGTGGCACACAACAGGCAGCACTACTAAGGGAATGGCAATTTGGTTGGGAAGGCTATCTCAGCTACAGGTGCTACTGTAACCTCTGTGACTCTTTGTGCACCTGTGGGTTCTCCAGTTAGCTCTGAAATTCCTCTACAAGGGCACTGTATGTAGTCTCTGTTGATCAAATAGAGTGGATCACTGATGGCCATGTTACCATTCCTTACTTTCTTGGTGTGTGTTTGCAACATTCATAGATGTGAGTTTGTACATAAAAGTAAATACAGTAGTTGGTGCCACCAAATGAAGTGGAGATAAAATAATTTTGAAAAAAAGTGTATTCACATTTTGCTCTATTTTGCAGGCTATCATGAACTATTTATGGTGGGGAAAAAACCTAACCAGTGCAGTAGGCACTCCTTTGGTGTATGTGGACTCCAAAAACAGACTACATGTAGAAGAAAATGACTTCTTTAAGGTAAAAGTGTAAAAAAGTGTGTTTTTTTCTCAAATGATTGACAATAAAACAAAGAGTGTCCCAAAACTAATTTTAATGAGAAAACATAGTAGCTACAGTAGTGTCTAAGACATTTTATCTACTTCCAGGTGGAGTTACAGCACAGTAGTATCTCTTGCAGCAATGTACTGTACTACCTTACCACTCTGTCCAGTTATTGTTTTGTTTTAAGCTAAAAAGGATACAAAGGCAGAATATAAAGAAAGTGGGATAACCAACAATATTAGTATATTTTTGCCTTTTAATGTCCGTTATAGGTTATCAATAAAATTAAAATATTTTTACCCCTACTTTAGTCAACAATATGTTTTATAATATTGGAGGTGCTTCAGTGAACATAGCTCCCATGGAGCTGGTGGCTATACAGTATGTATATCTCTTTTCTTATGAGAAAAATATTGCTGAGAGTATCTTTCAGCAATGGTGAAAAAACATATATTTGTAAAATTGATATATTTCAAATTCCATTTTTAAAATTGAAAAATAATTGGTCAATGTTTTGTTTACAAATCACCAAGTGAACTGCTGTATTTCCCATGTCACTCGCAGACAGAAGAGAAAAACACCTTTTTCTGAATCTTAACACCATGGAAACAAATGTATTTGGTAAAAAATATAGTTAGTTACTTAAAAAAAAAGTTACGTTTTTTTTTAATTGTTTGCATATTATGCAGTGTTTACATCCACCTACTACTGTGTATATAAAGAATATACTGTATACTGCCTCATAGGTTTGGTTATTTGGAGGTTACTACTAAATCAAACTCAGTCATAAACAACAGTTTCCCAAGCAGTTATGGATAAACATTGTGTGAAAGTGTTTCCTCTTTTACATGACTTCAGTTAAAAATAAAGATATTTCTTTGTTTTTAGAGTATAAAGGAAAATCTGAAGAAGTTTGGACATACATTCATGGACACATTACTTTTTGAGAATGCGGTTAATGCAATATCTAAAAAAGGTAACTGTATCAATGCTGTGTCAGATCCCAGAGGGAAGGAGAAACCAGCTGGATATTAAGAATCAACACAAAGAAGATTTTCCTTTCTGTACACTGGAGTGCTGATTGTTACAGGGTTATCTGTGCTGTATTTTAATTTATTTGATTTATTTATTAGGGTATCTTTCTCCTCCTTTATGGATGGCTGTGGTGAAGGCATTTTTTTATTCTGAGTAAATCTCAGTTTGAACTTGATTTTAATTTCCTCTGTAAATTATCTTCATCTGAGACTGAAACAAAAACTAAGACAACATTTTTTCAATATTATGCTCCTATGAGAAAAACATGTACTGTAAGTACTTCACATTCAACAATAGTCATAGTCCACCAATAATGGTTTTTAGATCATTAATAGCTGAGCTGATCATTAGATTATATAGCGAGCTGTTCACTATACATTTATTGATACAGATAATGTGCATATTGTGATGCTGGGACATGATCATCATATGGGTCCTAGCACACAGACACCCCAACACTGGCTATAAGATCCAATTGTCCTCTTATTTACAGTTTCAGTATACCAACCACCATGTAACAAAACAAATTAAAACAAATGTCTAAGTTCTTCTTTGACCTCCTGAATAAATTAATGTAGTTTCCTTAACAACTGCTTCCAAGCAGCTACCCTGGACACCTACACTTGTAATAGAAATAATGGTGTTTTTCAATGACAATGGTTACTCATGCAGATTCTTTAACCAGGATTACACACCAGAGGCTTCTCTCTCGCATTCTCTCACAGTGGTCTCACTCACAGAGATTCCAGACATCAGCTTCCAGCACAGCAGTGGTTTTCTTAGCACCTGCAGTGGGGCAGAGGCTCTGTGGCTAAGGCTCTGTGCCTGTGGCTGGAAGGTTGCCGTTTCAAATCCCGCAGCTGGCAGAGGAATCCTACTCTGTTGGGCCCCTGAGCAAGGCCCTGAACCCCAACTGCTCCAGGGACACTGTATAAATGGCTGATCCTGCACTCCGACCCCAAGCTTCTCTCTCCCTGTCTGTGCGCCTGTGAACTAGGAACTGCTAGCTCAAAAGGAAGATGCTAGTGATTTCCTTTGCAATTAGCAAGTCTGCCTCTCACACCGTCGTACCATCAATCTCTCTCTCTTTCTCTCTCTCTCAGAGGCTTCACTCAAAGCAATATTTCAACTAGCAACAGCCAGCGCTTTCCCTGTCAGCTCTGGATGTTCCTTGCACTGGACACATACAGTACATTGGTGATTCTATATGAATTGCTGGCTTATATAGACTGAGAGAGAGAAATTCAGAAATCTAATCCCAGAGTTCCCACACCTGCCAGAATCACAACGGGTCCCAATCCTACTGGGAGAGGGAGGAGGGAACTCAGTTGATCTGGCAGCCCAGTATGTGATCTCCTGTCACAGCCTGAGGAACAATAATGCTCCAGCCACCTACAGAATATATCAATATTTTATAATATGTATTTGTTGTAAATGCCTGTAATATGTCTGTAGATTTTATTTTACTTCTATTTTTTGTTTTGTTTAATGTAAATATCATTACTTTCATTTGCTTTGGCAACACTGATTGTACCCATCGGTCATGCTAATAAAGCACCTTGAATTGAGTAAACAGCTATTCTCCAGCCTAGTGATAACCCACAGGCTCTCTTACAATGCTTACAACTTTTTATATAAAATAGTCAACCATTTATAAAGGCAAATATAACAAAGTAGGGAGGTAAGTTTAGGGGGCATGGCATTTTTTGTGGACCTTGCCCCTGACAGCATCACAATATAAAACCAATAACACTGTAGGTAACACTTGAAACAATCTGTCTGTATACAGGATGGCTGACCATTGACCTGAGGAGTTGATCAAGATACAGCAATATCCGGATTAGGAAGGAAGAGAAAATATAAGGATTAAGATACAGTACTGTAACATTAATGATAACATTGTTTTTGCTGGATAAGAAATGGGAGAGGGAGAGTATGTGGTAGAATCTGACAGTGGTCCAGGCTAGTGAGCTGATAGAGATAATCTCAGCATAGCTGCTACTGCTGAATATTAGTATATTTAGGAGTGTTAACAAAAATCCAAAAATCCAACAAGCATTTCCATTTCAACCTTCTGTTCAGGTCACATCCTTTGAAATGCAAAATGCATCACAGGGAACTCCAGTCAAATAAATTTAATGTATTTATTTGACCTGTGTAGCAGCAGCACTAAATAAGCAGCCACAGAATCAAGTGTTGCTTCAGATTCCTCTTTGAGGCCCCTCTCTGTGGTCCCTTGAAAATGGCCTTTACTGTCTGTACTTACAAAGTTATTACAAAATGTTTAAGGGAACATCATTCCAGTTGGAAAATTGCCTCTGGAGGCTTATGACACAAGGGAGTACTAAAAGGGCTCACTCAGATTGAGTTTTTAGAGGGACTATTACCATAACCATAGTGTGAGGTATGGGTGTTAGTCATGACCCGGGTCATCTGTATCTATTACTGAGGACCTAGGTTTGTTTTCTCTTACAGTATGTGTTACTATTCAGTGATTGTGGTTGTGTAGGAATCAGATATTTTGTTAGCTCTGTTCTGAATCCATTTTTTAAAAATGTGATCCTTGGATCTATAGCTCCGGAGTGTGGAAAACATTAGTATGTATTACACCTGAGATGTTAGGGCATTTACACTTCTTACTTTGTTTTTTAGGGGGAAAAAACTTTATTCAGGAGAATTAATACTGTTTAGACTAGAGTGTCTCCCCCTGCCAGGAAATCGCTCAAGGGTGTGCCAAGAAAGGCTTCTGACCATATGTCTTTGTCAAAATGTAAGCTTTATGATTTATTTACTTCTTGTTTACTGAAAAGGGTTTAATCATTTATACTTAAGTATGTGCATACAAACAAATACATCTATTTTTATATATTTACATTTTTATTGTATTTTCCAGAAAATCATTAACACTACAAATGTACAGGTATTTCTTTTTTTTCCCTTTCCTGGCCAATATGTTCTCCCTGAGAAGAATGCAAATATTTTATACTATACTGTATGTCAATATACAGAGTAGAGTACTGTATATTGACAGGACATCTTAATCAGGTATTTTCAAAACATTTTTCTCGTAAAAACATGTTTAAAGAGTAAGATCTCAGTCAATTTACATTTTTATTTTTGTAGCAATTGTCTTTAAATATTTTAACACTCATGTGGTCTTGAGTCTCTCACAGACACTGTATCCTAAAACACACCTTACCTTTTACAAGGTGTGGTCAAGACTTCACTGTACACCCCAGATCACGCCATAAATTAAAATTGTTGATGTCTGTAATCTCCACAGCAGACAGGGGGCAGCAGCACAAGGTCTTTACAACGATCACGAGTCCTGAAGACTGGATAGACCTTCTCCCCCTGATTAAAGTCCATATCATTGAAAGTGTAGATATGAGCTCTGGACTCTACGGTGTAAAAGGAGACCTGCCTTTCTTCTATATCCACACACACTCCCACCTTCCTGTGTAGGCCACTTCGTTGCAGGCGCGTTACAGGGTCCGTGAGAGCACAGAAACCAGAATAGCCAGAGCACAGACCCCAGTAGCCCCCCCGGGGAGTGAAGTTGATCCCCCCTTTCCTCGTGGCAGACTCTCTGGTCACCCCTATTATCCAGTCATCATTCACTTCCACCTCCCAGTAGTGCCTTCCTAAGGTGAAGCCCTCCCTGCTTAGGACACAGGACCAGTAATCAAATCGCTGTGGATTGCCGGGGAGATCCTGTTTTTCTCCCTTTCTCAGTCTCTTCCTATCTGCAGACAGGATGAGTGCAGGATTTGCTGTGTCAGGGTCCAGAATCACATCAGCTGTTCAAAAACAAAGTACACATTTTGTGGAAGTTTTATTTTACAAGGTGAGTTAACACTCTTCTCTGTGAGTACCTGGATATACTGAAATAGAAAAAAATGCATACATTTCATACTATATATGCACCATAATGTATACAGAGTAACATGGGATGTGCTATGTGGTATGTAATGTTTATAGTACGAATTAAAGTCCCTATTTGTATGATAACTAATTATAAAAGTTTTTAGAAGCAAACCAGTGTTCATCATTTAGTAATTATCAATAATGTATACTCCAATTTTATGATAAAATGTGTTTTTGATATGTTCTATGCTCAATGAAAATTAGACTCAAAATAAAAAAATAACAAAGTCAAGGCGCTTTGTATATTATTTATTTCCTCTCTGTATAACAGTGTGCCTTTCATTGTCTTATTCAATGGGAGACAATTCCTTAAGCCTTCAATGATCTTTAAGGACTTCCATGTGGATTCCATAAGGAATTTTCCATACACATGGAACTGTAGTACAGTTACTACTGTTTATAGACCACTAATGATGATCTTTGATTTCAGTCACAGACTAATTAGGGACATGCTGCTACTGTCCCCAATAACCTCAGATACTGACCAGGTATCTGAAACAGATCCACTTTGTTCCACCCACTACCATTCTGGATAACAATATTTCAGACACGGCCAACACTGTTTCAGATGTGCTTTAAATACAGAGTGCCCTTACCTTGATTAGGAATGGGCCGCCCTACTCCTGTAAGGTGGAGAAAACAAAAGAATTGTTACTGAAGGTGTGGTGAAAGGTAATTGATGTAGAGTGGGACTTCTTCATGCTGTGAGCTCTACTTCTCATGAGGCTTGTCTGAATAACTAGACACCCTGAGGCAATGACTGAATGCTCTTTCATCTTCCTGAAGAGAATGGGTTTATAGTGCAGAGGCACAGTTAATACTCTTCGTGTGAGGTCTCTTTCCTCTGCCTGAGAGGGACAGTCAGATTCCAGCCTCTTTAGAAATCAGAGGACATACATCAGAGGCATCAGAGGCCAGGAGGCATGGAGCGGTGCCTCTGTCGCTTACTGTAACTGGAAGGTTGCCAGTTCTAATCCTGTGGCTGGCAGAGGAATTGTACACCATTGGGCCCCTGAGCAAGGCCCTTAACCCCAGCTGCTCCAGGGGTGCTGTATAAATGGCTGACCCTGCACTCTGACCCCAAGCATCTCTCTCCCTGCCTGTGTGTCTCATGGAGAGCAAGCTGGGATATGCAAAAATCCCAGCTAATGCAAGAAATTGTATATGGCTAGTAAAGTAATCTTATCTTATACTGAACTTACAAAAGGAAAGCAACAGAGCAGTAAAATTGTGGTGATACATTTAAGTTTCAAAAACCTTGTGTTTATTATTTCTGACCTATATATAATGGCCCTCTTCACTTTCTTTATAAATGCACACCTTTCTCAAATGTACACTTACAGTTTGTAGTGTTATATTTGTAGATGAGTCCTGTCTGTTTCCATTAGTATCCATCAATACTAATCTTTCACTTGTGAATAAATAGTGCCGTAGTTTATAAAACTGAAATTGGTACAAAGTTCTGTTATAATGACAGAATCACAGTTTTAATTCACATGATAAGTAAAGAATAATTTGTTGTTTGGTAATATCGTCAAACTCTTGTCTCAGACATTAGAAAATAATGAATATTTTACAAGTAAACAAAAACCAGTGACTGATGAGTGTAAAAGTGTAGTTCAACTCAATACTAGATAGTGAAGCATAGTAAACTACTGGACAGAAAAGTAAAGCAAACTACAGTATGATACATGAGAGTAGAACTCAAGGAAAACTCAGTAGTGTACAGTAAACTAAAAACAGTTCAGTACATGAAACTACAGCATGGTTCACTACAAGGAACAACAGAAAAATATGATTGATTAAATTCCAATTCATTACAAGCTGCAGTTACTGTAAACAACTTACCTAGTTCTTTAAGAAGTACTAATGTATCTCCTGCAAATAAAGAAAGATGTACAGTAAATGTAAAGTCTATGCCATCACAAAGATATTAATAATCATACAGTACATAATTTCTCAAGTACCACTAGATTTAGTACTGATGTACAACCCTATTTACAGCAGTTTAATGCTGTATGTAATGTTACAGCAGAGCAGCTAGAAAGAATATTTCCAAGTGTTGTTCACTTACGTTTGGATTCCCAGAGCATCTGTTCCCCTGTAAGAAAGAAACAGTGGAGTCAATAATACCGATATAGACTCCTGCACCCATGCTGGCTTTTAAAGTTCCTCATCCCATGGCTACCATAGAGATATTTACTTTTGCTAACATTGGTTGTTGAATACTCTATTCTCTCCTTAGTTAACTATGGAAATTTCTAAAACACATACACACTTACACCACTCCACTGTGCAAAACCTGTAGAGACCTATTAAAACAGCAGGGTGTTATGGGCCCTTGAATTCTTATGCAAGCACAAAACTTTACTTTTCAGCAGGTTATACTGACATCCAACCTCTTTTACTGTACATACAGTATACTTGCTTGGTTTCATCATTACAGTATTGAATACAAAAAAGTTCATTTTAAAAGTTCTTATGTGAACTAATAATAACAACAACAGCAACAATAATAATGTTAATGTTGTTATTATTGTATAATATAATCTTATTGTTTTATGTGATATTACATAATAATATAATATTCATATTATTATTGTTATATAATTCTTTACGCTTATATAGTGCTTTTCTGGACACTCCACTCAAAGTGCTTTGCAGGAAATGCAAAGAGTTACCATTACCACCCACGTTCTGCACCTAGACGATACAACAGCAGCCATAGTGCACCAGTACGCTCATGACACATCAGCAATCAGTGGGGAGGAGAACAGAGTGATTAAACCAATTCATAGATGGAGATTATTAGGAGGCCAGGATTGGTAAAGGCATATGGGAAATTTGGCCAGGACACCGGCATAACACCCCTACTCTTTTCGAGTAACGCTGGATTTTTAATGACCACAGAGAGTCAGACCTTGGTTTTATGTCTCATCTGAAGGACAGCACCTTTTTACAGTATAGTGTCCCCGTCACTATACTGGGGCATTAACACCCACACTGACTGGAGGGTGAGCGTCCCCTACCACCCCCTCTAATCCCTCTTCTAGTAGCAACCTCAGTTTTTCCCAGGAGGTCTCCCATCCAGGTACTGACCAGGTTCACACCTGCTGAGATTCAGTGGGCTGCCAGGTGTGAATTGCAGGGTGATATGGCTGCTTATAGTTCTGTACCTAATTTGCCAGAGGATCAAAACTGTGGACTCTTGAATGAAATGGCTTAATTAAATTTGATTAATTCAAATGCTAAGCAATCAAATGCTAAGCTAGTGAAAAAGGTTTAAGCTAAATTAATTGCTCTCATTTTCAACCTTTATGTTCAGAAGCATATGTTTTGTTAATAGAAAATACTCCTGAACATTAAACAGTGTTTTAATGTCTACATACTTTCCATTCTTCTCCACTGGATCACCAGAAATGCTAATGCTGCTACAGTAACAGCTATTGTTAAGAAAAGAGTCACCATCCATCCAGAGGGTCCATGGAAAATGTCTCCTGGAAACAGCACAGAAATATTAACCCAAACAGACAGCTCACCTAGTTACCTGGATTCCACAGAATAAATTCAGGGAGAAAACTACAGAAAAGCAGACATCCCAAAACCTTCCATTAAAGTATGGGATAGTGGTGCTTCTTTTATTCTAAAACATACTGTAACACAACTGGAGGGAATGGTCGCAGAGTTTATTCTATAGTACATTACTTGCAGAAATTACAATATCTTATCTCAGTAGATTTATTCATGTTTTGGTTTCAATTTATGCAGAAACGGGAAGCAGATTTAAAATTAAATAATCTTGAGCTTTCAGTGTTTATAGCTTATTACCTGTTTGTCAAAAACACTCTTATGGAAGATTTCTTAATAAGAGCAATTTGAAAGAATGTAACAAACATGGCCACTTCCTGTGAAGAATGCAGTAGACATAATCACAATAGTCACAATATGAGATATAAGGAACAGCATAGCAATTGCATTCTGATCACAATTTATTCATTTGGATTGTGTTCAAGTGTACATTATATAGTGAGCATAAATTAATTAATTACCTTACAGTTAAGGTCTACTGTTCTTGTTTAGTACTTACCAGATATGTGGAGCTGTGATCCACAGTCGGGTTCAGGTAGAACACTTCTAATCAGACAGGAGAAAATGTTGGATTCCTGTGTGACAGGAATGTAGCTCCTGACATTAAGTAGCCCCAGACTGTCCTTTTCCACTGTGGTGTTGGACAGTGATGTCACATCGTTTCCATCCCTGTCTGTCCAGATCACTGCAGGTTCAGGGAACCACCCCTCTGATCTACATAGCAGCTGGTCCTCAGCTCCTCCAGAGGAGTGGAGAGACACTGAGGGCTGGGAACCCAGAGCTGTGGATTCATCATAAAAATGTTTTTAAAAAACTGAGTTAGATGTTCTGTGATTAATTTAATTTGAATGCTAAAATAAGTTTAAGATATTAAAATAAGAAAGAAGGCATACATCTATTTAAGTGCTGTATATACAGAGATGTGAAAAAGTAAGTACACCCCATGAAAAGGTTTGTCTTTTTTTACATTTTTGTAAGGACAAAAGGTTATTTTTTTACATGCAGACTCTTAGACAACACCATAAATTGTATATAATGTGGCACCAACATTATTACTCCCAGGTGCAGGCATCCAAATACAGTACATGTACATATATATACAGTATATACTGTACATTATATATAAATCAACATCCTCTTTGCAAAATCTTTCTCTTTCATTTTCTTTGGTGACCCTCTGCACAGTTGCTCTTTTGTAGTTTTCTGTGGAGAGTTGCCATGTTCACTGTATCCCATCTATCAAATATGACAGATATCGATCACATTAAGTATAGATTATTAAGATGAAATTCCAAATAATTATGCTGCACATACAGTAAATATAATGAATTCCAAAGATGTGTAACAATCCCCCGTTTCCCTAGTGTTTCCTCACTCCGTTGGATTGTGTCGTCCGCATAGGGTCCGGAAAGAACTGTTCGTTACAGTCCCTTCATCTGAATATCTGACTGAATATACTGAACATAAACATTGAATTCCAAAGATCCATGATGATCTTTAAAAACTTGATTAATCACTCACCTCTAATGGACAGATCAATGAGAGCATCTTCATAATGTTCTGCAGACTCCACCACACATTTATACTTTCCATGGTCAGAGCGCCTCACATCCTTCAGTTTTAGAGACATGTTTCCTCTGGGGAGCTCCTCTGGGAAAAGCTCAGCTCTTCCGCTGTAAGAAGGGTTCTGTTTTTCAAAGTTATAGCTCCCATATTGGTATAAACACACAGCTGTTCTGTAATCTTCTCGAAACCACTTGATCTCTAGGTCCCCAGTGCTGATGTCTGGTGAGAGGTAACAGGGCAGGACAGCATCTTCACCAGGGAAAACAACAACAGGATCAACTGGGCCAAGAACCTGAAACATTTCTGAAAGAGAAATAACATGCCTCCACCTTGTATACAAACTCACTGAAACAGGCTGCAGACACTCAATAGTCATGTTTTCTGTGTTAATAATGAATTATTTTTCTGTTTGCAACGAAAAATCCTCACTGATCAAAAGGACCTGCAAAGTCAGGAGAACTAAATGTCATAGGTCTGACAGCCGATTGGAGTAGCAGAATCCTGTCATCAGACATGCTCCAGGGTATTATTCAAAGCCTGTGAAGGTCTCACTAAAGCTAGTCAGTCAATAGCTTCACTCAGTCTGATTTCATTAACATTGTTCATTGACTGCAGATTTCTGTTACATCATTTTCCTCTTTCCCATTCCCATTCATGAAAACAAAGCAAGGGTGTAATAAAGAAAGGATGGGCATAGAGGGTGTGTGGACAGTTGCCCCAAAGGCATGGCTGTGCTAGAGATTCACCCAATACAGTTGTTGGGTAAATACAGTAAGTCTTTCTCCATGGTACCTGATCTTGAGACAAACATCTGGTGGAGGAGCTGGAGGACTGCAAAGAAACACTCCCACTGGTCATACTTCATTTCTGAAAGGAAATTCAGATTGATCAGTATCCTTTTACAAAATAAGCACTGAAATCACTGACATAATGATTCACTATGGCAAGCTGACATTCAGCCTTCAACAATGAAATATACACACAATCAGTAGAAACAGCCCATGTGTCTCACCACAAACAACAAAGACATTTACAGTATGCATACAGCACAGAGAGGAGGAAGACGGCTATTGAAATGGAGTAAATTAGAAAACGCCTCAGTGTCTTTGCAGATCATGGTGCTAATAATCAATAATAAGTATTAAACCTTCACCTCTCTTGTGATGGAAGACTAAAACATTTTTTAAAATATTCATGTGGATTTGTATTCTAAGGCTCAGCCTGAGATTACATAATCTCACTGATTCTGATCTCCATTTGACTAAGAAGACCTGATATTATCCCTGGTAATTGAAAATGTACATACTTTAAACCTTCATTTTAGAATACCATAATATTTTATAATTGTATATGACATGGCCATCTCCAATACTAAGCTCATTTATGATTTATAGGAATCTGCAGCAAAAATATTAAGTGATTAGTTATTATACATTGATCTGAATCCAAGCAACAGTGTTAAAAACAGTGTTTACGAGTTTCAGAATTACACTACATAATAAGACATTTCCATGAATATACCTTTTCCGTCCTAACCACCTTCAGATTGTAATCATTGTTCAGACTGCAGAAAGATTTCTTTCCGATGTTCAGAGACAACGTTTTCCCAAACAGAACTGAAGATCAGAAAGAGAGATTACTGTAGTTTACAGGAAACACAGACAGGAAGTAACCCCTTAAGGAGGAGCTGTGATATTTGTTTTTTTTTTTTGCTTACTGGATATAGAGATAATAAGGTAAGATAGTATTAAATAGCTGTGGACATAATAATATTATTTATTACTGTGTTAAATAGATGTGGATGTTGACTTTGCTTTTTAGACTAATGTTATGTGAATATTTTTGGTCTGACTCCATCAGGACAACGCTTAAACCTGCAGGATGTGCTGTTAACTGCTCTTAAAATTGAGAGGATGCTTTACAGTATGTAACGCAGGATGCAGGAAGAGATTTAATGGGAGATCAGTAATGGCAGGATGTGATCTTGTGATTGTGTGATCCAACATCAGCTTTCGAACAGAAAATGCTCTAAGACAGTTTGTGTGCGAAAACTGGGAAGACTATAACCACAATATTACGGTCTTAAAAACACTTCCTCATAGAGTTTCTCACTGGGTCTATTCATCTTGTTTGCTCAGCAAAGCACCCCTTGTCGCTCTCTCTGTCCTTCAAATTACTGATACTGTCCATAACACCCGCACTGGGCTGTGTTAACAAGTAGGAGTTATCTCTTATAACAGTGAACATGAACATTCTTTCCATCATAATAATCTCAGTTATTAAGAGTATAACACTCCCCTGTGGGACTGTCCTTATTCTCTGACCTGGAGTCCTTCTTATGTCTATCAGTTCTTCACATTTTTTTCCTCAGGATCAGGCCCCTTCAGAATCTTTTCTGTATTTCCTTCACAGCCCATCCTGATCCAAACCCTGGGCAACACCTGTCTCAATTTGATTTAAGACACAGACGTGCAAAAGTTAAAGAACGCTATTCCCCTCCACTCAAATGTTGCTCTATTTTTTGATCTTTGGTTATTTGATCTATGGCAATTACAATTGTGATTCTACTGTTTATTGCCAAATATTGCAAGTCATACTGTACATGTGTTGTACGAATGATGTGGTTGGTTGTACAGTATTACTAAACAGATTAATTCTTAGCATTTTCACAATGAAAAATATGTGCATCTACTCTGTTGAGATAAGTTGTGTTTCAACACCTTTGTTTCCATGCAAACCCATGAAGAAAAATATGTATTTGTGTAAAATAAATACAAATATATTTAATATTATTTAATCAGATAAATAATATATATTTATTTAAGATTTATTTAGCCTGAAAGATCTTGATTCCCCAATATTTCTAAAGACATAAGACATGATGATAATGACATCTCTTGCAGCATTTTGAGTGGCGCTCATAATAATTTCAGGGACAAAAGGCTTCTGGAATATCTGCTTGAGATTTATTTTGGCAAGATCTGTATTTTGATTCATATTTTAAACTTTTCACATCATATGTTTTAGAATGGCACAGTGGCTGTGTTTCTTCCAGGGGTTCTGGTTTCCTGTAGTCCAAAGACAAATTGGAAGGTTAATTGGCATTTGTGAAAATGGACTCAAGTATGAGTGTGTGTGTTTGTCTCCATGTGTCCTGCAATGGACTGGTGTTCTATTCACAGAATACTACTGTATATCCTGCCTTGAGTTTGTCACTTCCCAGGTTGCCAGCTTGCCAAAATTGGAGCCAGCTGTTCCACAACCCTGTATTGGATAAAGTGGGTCAGGAATGGATGGATAAACAGATGTTTGGTTTAAGATTCATATCTGTGCTAAAAAATATGAAAGTTTTATTTCTTTTATTTCTGATGTCAAAATTCCTGTGGAGGCCTTTAGAGAACGTTATGGTGGATTTCTCCACATTGATTTTCCACATTTGGTCTGGGTTTCTTTCAGGTGCTCTGATTTCCAAAAACATATTGGAAAGTTAATTGGCATTTGTGAAAATTGACCCAGGTATGAGTATGTGTGTTTATGTCTCTGTGTGTCCTGCAATGGACTGGCATTCCATCCATAGAACGGTATATCTTGCCTTGAGATTTGAGTTGCCAGCTTGCACAGTGGCTGGCTTTCCTCCTTCACCACTCTCCACCACTTATCTTCGCTAATCCAATCTCGTAGCAGCTCTCTGGTTTACTTACCTTCTCCCTCTTTCTAAGTTCCTCTCTTTCACTTGTCATGGAACTTACTGCCTCCACCCTCCCACTTCTATCCATTCTGCTGACGAAGCCTTCCATTCTCACTCCTTCCTCCTCTTTTTCAACTTTTACAGTACTTTCTCTTTGTGACTCACTTTGCCTGTTCCCTGTTGTTCTGATGAAGAAATACTATTTGAACAACATATATGTTATATAAGGAACAAGTAATAGGTTTATTCCATGCTGAAAAGAGAAGAGAGAAAACACAATGTTTCGGCTGTGAAGCCTTCCATTTTGTTTTAAATCAATGACTTCACCAATGACACTCTGCCAGTTTGTTAGAGTAATGGGCTACGCGGTACGGTAATCTACCCACAAGCCACCGCGGGGCACCGGAGGGCACCGCGGTAAGTGATTGGCTGGCCAAAATGACCGACAGGGGCACTCGTGGTGCATTGGTTGGTAGTGAAAAGATTTAATTATTTAATGTCTTTACTGTGC